AGAAAACCTCTCACTGGCCCCAGTAAGCATCATAAGGGCTTTGGATTTTGTTCAGTTGAATTCTGAAACTGAATTTATAATGACCTAACATCACTAAATTTCCACAAAATTACAAAATGAGATGCTGAATTATTCAAGTTAAAGAAATTGAGTTACGAACATCAAGTTACAAAAACATTGAGTTACAATAATGACCATGCCCATATTTCAGAAACCACGCCCACTTTTGCGAAACCTCGCCGAAATTGTAACTCAATGTCCAATTAACAGAACACGGGTTACGAGCAACATAGAATTTTTTTTGTTTTGTTTAAAGTTCAAATTTAGTAATTTGAATTTCAATTATCAGTTAACCAAACTTTGAATTATGGGAAATATACAATGTTAAATGAAACAAAAATTCTATGCTGCTCGCAACTCAAAGTTCTGTTAACTGTTAATTGAACATTGAAGTTAAAATTTAGGCGTGGTTTCTGAAATATGGGCGTGGTCATTTTTGTAACTCGATGTTCATAACTCTATGTTTGTAACAATTCAGCATCCTTTACAAAGTATTTTTACAAACCTAATCCTTTCTCTGAATTTCAAACTGTCTAAAATGATCTTCCTGACAAACTCCACCTCACCTCCTTCAACAACACACTCGGGTTCAGCAGCAGTACTCGATGATTTAGGTTCAGGTCTCTTCTCGCTACGAGAGAAAAAACCTTGTGCTTCTAATAAGCTTCCATAAAATGGTGGATTACACATAGAGAAATCATAGCATTGCCGTTCATTGTCTTCAAATACTTGACTAAAAATATCATCTTCACTGCTTTCTATCACTGAAAAAAAGGCAAATAAATAAATAATTTTTTTTTTAATACTGGAATAGCCTTTCACTGTGATTCCCTGGAATGGCAACTTCAGTGTATACTTTATTTTGTCTGATTTTCATAAAATAAGTCATCACCTGCACATACAAATACACATCTACCCATGAGCCTTTGCCTTTTTAGCGTGCATTGTTATCGTTGCTTGGGACTCAATTCTTGAAAACTGTTCAAACTGAATGTTCTCACTTTATATATAGTTTTATGCATTCACGGTTTCACCCATCTGAGTTTTTGTTTCTGAAAATTTTATCATTTCTAATTTTCCCAACCTTACAGCGGCTGCTCAATGAATTTGTTTTCTGTACTGAACCACCTTTACTGTTGATTTACTGTCAAGATACGTGAAGACCGTTGATAGAACTAGATCACAATTTAGTGTTTCTATAATAGTTTGATAGGTTCAAAAATTAGATATTTCAATGATTGCAGTCAAGCAGATGTTCCTATTTGCAAATGACTTGAATGTGCTTAGGATGTGCGTGCACACACAAATAACAATTTTAATGTTAGTTTCTGCTGGTGGAACAGTTGAAATGCAAATGTGTGATCAATAGGATATCAAAATTTGTGGCAGTGTAATATTGTATTTATTAAACAAGTGTCATAACTTTCATATGTTCAATGCAGTATGATGTTACACGGTGACTTCTCTCTGCAGTTACAACAGTGTATAGTTACCTTTTATTTTATCATTCATGTTATTTTTCTCGATATTTTCCTTAGCATAGAATACATTAACTGGGTCAGTCTCTGTAGCAGTGATATGCCACTCGTTCAATCTGGCACCCAGCAATGGGTAAATACAGGACGCTCCAGTACCTATTAACATATAGTATTAAAGAAACATGGTACTTTAAGATTGAATTCAACATTACTTATAAACTAACCCCCCCCCACCCGTAGCTAAAGCTATGCACAAATTCTGTTGTTAAAACAATAAAGATATACATGTACAACCATTCTAATGGAGGCCAAATATCTTCTATATCGGTAATATACACCCATCAGACGATTTCATATTCAGAATTTTAAAATTTGATTTTAGTATCTCCCAGCCAATGTACTCACCAAAACAAATATAATCTGGCCATATATAAATATAATGCGTCTTTTATTGAAGCTTTGCATTGAAACTAAATCCAGAATGCTTGAAAATATGCAAATTAGATGGTGGTATACTGATTCATGCAAAATGCCCATAAAATCAAAACAAACATATCAGGGAAACATGATCATAAAATACAACGTAGTATGATATTTTAATGTTTTGGACAAGAATATCCTGGTTAAATAAAACACTTCACGGTCGAGGAGGCATATACAATTGAATTGTGGAGCACTTGAGGGTAGAGTTAGTGTTGGGGTGGTGGGGGTGGGTGTGCAAAAAGAACTCTTTCTGTATCTAGTTAAAAAACATTTATTGAATACTTCACAACCCCGACAGTGCTATACAAACATTATTACATACACGATACAGTATTTTAACATCTTTTAATTTTATCTTATCATAGTTTTTAGCTGCTATATTTTTTTTATGATTTGTATTTTATTTACCATACTGTGCCCTCCCTCTGATGGCATAGTAGTGTAATAAAGTTATTATTATTATTAGTATTATTTTGCATACCTATATCAATGCCATGGATGTGGCTACCTCTGTATGCACCATTATCTCGGATAAGGTCTTCCACCCAGTGAATATAATTTAGTCTTAGTGGCAGCGTGGGTACAAGTCTATCTAGTGGTACATCTATTTCGACATTGAAATCTTCTTTCAACAACGTACATGTGAGTGAACGCAATGCTTGTGGGTTCTTGAAATCGACGCTCACTTTCCCTGATAGACTGACAGACACGTGTTGGGCAAAATTGTCATATTTCGCGGCCAGTTTAGCAAAGTCTGGAGGTTGATTCTTGTATCTGTTTCGCGGGTGCATGAACTTGTTTAATGCCATACTTGTTTCACCTGTTAACACAAATACGCAGATACACTAGCCTAGGAATCTGCACTCACGGTCTCAGATTAAATGACATCAACCTTAGTAGTACGTCCATGGTTTCGGTCAGACGTCGACTGCTCAATTTTCACTTTTTTAGAAATCCTGTGCATCTCTAGCAGTGAATACCACCAACCTGTACCCTAGCGTGTGGTTACAATTTGCAACTCTATAAACACGCCTCAAAATGATAATTCTCACGCTATAATTTGTTAAAAACTGAAAAAAACGTTGTTTGAACGAATTTAGTGGGCGCAGACATATTTTTCTCAATGCATTGTGGGTAACCCCTACCTATATGCGCAGATTTTGATGCGCGTTGGAACTGTAAAGCGATGCGTTGCATTGTGGGTAATGTTTCAACGTGTTGGGAATCAGAAATCGGTGAAAGTCGCTGGCAAATATAGAGAAATTACTCGGTTTGGGTGCTCATCTGATTGAATTTGTTAAATTTTCTGGTAAGACATAATATTTTACTAATTATTCGGCGAAAATCTTTTGATTGTTACGTGTGTAGAGATGCTGGAATTTGAAACTCGTCGACTTTGAATGGCCGCCATCTTGAGATGAAGTCAGACTACATTACATGACAGAGTTGGGCAGGGCCGGTAAAAATCGAGATTTTCAGGAAAATCAAGTATTTTGAGCAAAGGTTAATTATCAGTAATTCTTACTCTCAGTTTTCGTCCATTACAGTAATTGTTATGGGCCTCTGTTTCGCTGTAATTTTATGTGTTCGAGGTGTTGGTTGTCTCGGCGAATAATTTCCGGTAAAACTGACTGAGATAATTTTTGACGAGCTGTGTGGCCGGCAATAGCATTTAAGACAAGCACACTTTGTACCTAGAGTATTCGCACCCTTGTTATGATTATATCCAATATTAGAATTTTAACGAATATATTATCATTCTACTAAATATTTAAAACTACCTGGATCAGATTTAGACTAGAGCAATTTCATTTCTTACTCGTATCATGTTATTATTAATTTTAATAAGTACTAAGTATGATTATAGAATAATTGTTTCAATTGCCTTGATCACATTTAACAGAATGACATTTTCTTTTTCACAGACAGCATGAGTTGATAATTGGTGGGCTGACTTGTATCGTGTATGCAATTTGGATCCATCGCACCGAAAGTGGAAGTGTTTTCATCCATCTTTCTCATAACTGATATCACAAACTGTAGTTAGTACCTTGGCATTTATTTGCATAGGACAATATTGCGTGTTAATTTCCAAGAGGATATTCCTTTAAGATGGTTCTGTCCCAGAGGCAAAGGGAAGAGCTGTGAGTAATCATTTATTATTATTTCTTGAAATTGGGTCAAGTGCAAATATCAATTATTTGGAACAGAAATAATAATTTCCTTGTTCTAAGTTGAGGCTCAGTTGGAACGTTGGAATTATGTCTTCACCAACACTTGGCACAAGTCTGTGAAGAGGTTTAATACTGATCGTCATAACAAAGTGTTTATTTAGCATTTCAAAGGGGTGAGAGTCCTTGACATGCTTTGGATTTAAAGTTTAAAGACCCATATTCTTTCCCAGATTGAATAACAAATACACTTTTGGGTTTTGAATGTCATGAGAACAAAAGACCAATCCAAGTAAAGTGCAATTCAAACAATATGAATTATCTTGTGGCAGGGTCCTTAAGACATAGGTCTCTATTTATATTTTAAAAAACACTGTCATAATTTTTATTCTGATGAATTGTGGTTTTGAACTGCAACTGTAGACATTTGTGAATAATAACATTTGCATCTCAAAGTTACAAGATAGTTAATGATGCCGAAATATTTGTTGTTGTATCTGCTATGGGTTTGTGTGGTTTGTGTGATCCATTTAATTTAGCCAAATTGAATTAATTTCTTGTAGTTTTAGAAGGATTCGTTAAAGCACTTGGTATTTTCCATTATTACCTGTTTTATTTTTTGACATGTATGTATGTGCTGTTAATATGCATATTACCATATAGTATCCACAGCCTGCTACTCTTTCAATCCATGCATTAGATGAAATACTAGCGTCAAATGAAAATGATATGTCTGATTCTAACAACAATAAAATGTCATAGTATACTTTGTTCATGTTTGCTAAATTACATTGATTACTTGATTTGAAAA